CTCGTAATCGTCACCGACGACAAGCTCATCCACGAAGCTCTGGTTCAGAGAGGTGCGGCCTTCGCGTCCCGCCCGCCGGACTCGCCCATCCGGCTTGTTTTCAGCGTAGGCAAGTGCGCCATCAACTCGGCAGAATACGGCCCGTTGTGGAGGACCCTGAGGAGGAACCTGGTGACGGAGATGATAACGCCGACGAGAGTGAGGCAGTGCAGCTGGATACGGAAATGGGCACTCGAGAGTCACATGGCTAGGCTCAAAACTGAGAGTATAGAACAGGGTTTTGTCGAGGTGATGAGCAATTGCAGACTGACGATTTGCAGCATTCTTATATGTCTCTGTTTTGGTGCCAAGATTTCTGAAGAGAGAATCAAGCATATCGAGAGTATACTCAAGGAGGTAATCTAAGATTTTTCAGATTCAAATATACACAACACGGATCGATTATTTTTTAAATGGTTTAATGGGTATTTAATTCGATCTATAAAATTTTACAGGTTATGCTTGTGACATCACCGAAGCTTCCTGACTTCTTGCCTGTTTTAACTCCCTTGTTTCGCCGCCAAATGCAAGAAGCCAAGGAGTTAAGGAAGCGCCAACTCGACTGCTTGGTTCCACTGATAAGGAACAGGCGAGCTTTCGTAGAGAAAGGCGAGAACCCGAACGGCGAGATGGTGAGTCCCGTCGGTGCAGCTTACGTCGACTCGCTCTTCGGGCTCGAGCCAGCAGAGCGAGGCTCGCTGGGCGAAGAAGAGTACGTCACACTCTGTTCCGAGATCATCAGCGCCGGCACCGACACCAGCGCCACTACCGCGGAGTGGGCTCTGTTCAGCCTGGTTACTCACCAGGACGTTCAAGAGAAGCTTTACAATGAAATCGTGGCTTGTGTCGGTAAAGACGGCGTCATCGAAGAAGAAGACGTGGAGAAGATGGTGTATCTCGATGCCGTTATAAAAGAAACCCTACGTCGACACCCACCTGGACATTTTCTGTTATCTCACGCCGCCGTTAAAGACACCGAGCTCGGTGGCTACCACATTCCTGCGGGGGTTAACGTGGAGTTTTACACTGCATGGGTGACTGAGAATCCGGATATCTGGTCCGACCCGGCCGAGTTCCGACCCGAGAGGTTCCTGGAGGGCGATGGAGTCGGGGTTGATGTGACGGGGACACGTGGGGTCAAGATGGTTCCGTTCGGCGCGGGTAGGCGGATCTGCCCGGCGTGGAGTCTGGGCGTGTTGCATATTAACCTGTTGGTGGCCAGGATGGTGCATGCTTACGAGTGGTTGCCGGTTCCGGAGTATCCACCCGATCCGACCGAGACTTATGCTTTCACTGTTGTGATGAAGAACCCTTTAAAGGCCATTGTAGTGCCGAGGTAATCAAATCGCTAATGATCTTGATAATCCACAATTTAAATCATGTAATACCATTTAGCTTCGTGATTAATGATATATAATTTACCATTTTCTTAATATATATTTAGATGATTAAAAATAATCACAATAAACAAAACATTAGTATGAATCTTTAATTATAATAAGTTTTTATTTGTTTATACCACAATTAACTAAGAATTAACATTGGTGTAAAATTGGAACCATTAATGAGCCGAATTTAATTGCCAACAATATTGATATACAACGTGATGTGTGTATAAATATATATGTAAATGTAAATGTGGACGTACACATTATTGAGTCGTGCCTTTAAATGTTGTCACGCGGCACCTCCCGAACCCACAAAACTTTAATTCAAATATGAAATAATATTATATTATATTTATGCCTACTCCAATTTTTGATAACTTTATATTATATATTCGGAATGGAGAAAAGTAGCGTTCCAGATGATTAGGAGGACTCATAAATGAAACGGTGAATTGGGAAGATATGGCCACTCATTTCAAAGCATTTTGACTTCCCACGAGGGGCA